TGTCCTTCCTGCAGCCTGGGCAAGACTACAGATATTGAGGGCGAACCCACTCCAAGTAGTTTACAAAGCAACTGGCTCACTTGGAGGGGGTTGGAAGTGGACAATGTCAGAACTTTACCTGTATATCTCCAGAAGTCATCTTTCAAAAATTCTACAGTATTATGTTGCAATTAATAAGACTTGTATGTTCTGCTAAGCAACAATGTCTATAACACTGTTAAGAGAAAGATACAAATATAATGTGATCTCTGTAGTGCAAACAAAAAGGTCACATTTAAATGCTTCCCTATACATTTAAAAATATGGGAAGAAGACACAAATTGTCATTTTTAGGAAGTGAGACTAAGAGGATAAAGTAAAGGCTCTTTCATCTGCTGTAATACCTGCAAATGTTTTTATTATGTACAACTTTTACAGCTTTTTCAATTCATTAATACAAAGCAACCAAGCACTCAGGAGGCTGAGGTTGGAGGATCACTGCAAGTTCAAGGCCAGCCTGGTCCTCAAAGTGCATGCAAGATCAGCCTGAAACTCTGTCTCAAAAAGACACACACTCACACACACACACACAAAAATCAAAGCAACTATAAAAGAAATGCTTCCCCAAAACAGTCCTTGTCCTGGCAAGGTGGAAAAGATGAGAAGTGACTAAAATTTTTAGAAGAAAACCTAAGAGTAAATATTTGATATTTTAACCCGGGGTGAATAAACTGCAGCTTGTTTTTAACTAGTACACAAGAAATGTTTTTACAGTTTTAAATAGTTGCCTGAAAAAAACCCACAGAATGTTTCATGATATCATATGAAATTCAAATTTCATTGTTATTAACAAAAATTTACTGGTACACAGATATATTTGTTCTCTTATATATCATCTATTATCTGCTTTCATAGTACAATGGTAGAGCTGAGGCTGAGATCAAGACACTGTCCACAAAGTCTGAAATATTTATCATATTTACATAAAAGTCTGCCAATGTTCCCAGAACAGAAAACTTAATGTTGTTAAAATGGCATCACTCCTACAACCCACCTACAAATTCAATGCATTCCCAATCAGAACCCCAGCTGGCTTCTTTGTAGAAATTAACAACCTGATCCTACAATTCATTTAGAAATGCAAGGGACCCAGAATAGCTAAAACAATCTTTAAAAAGAAAGCTGGTATAGAGAATAATAAATCTACTATAGAACATTAAAAAAAAAAAAAGCTGGGACTCTCACAAGTTGAAAATGTGATACAAACTTTAGTAATCAAGACTGTACAGGCACAATTCAGACACAGATCAATGGAATCAAGTGGGAAGCCCAGAAATCAATCTATACATTTATGGGCAATTAATTTTCAACAAAGGTGCCAACACAAGTGAATAGAGACTGGGATAATGGGATAAGCCACAAGTGAAAGAAAAAGTTGAAGTGCTACTTTAACCAAATACAAAAATGAACTAAAATAGATCAGTCCTAAATATGAGCTTAATCTCTATAACTTGTAGAAGAAAAAATAGGAGTAAATCTGTGAGTTTGGCTTAGGCAGTGGTTTCTTAGTTAAGACATGAAAAACATAGCACCTAGAAAAAATAAGACAAACTGGGCTTTTCACAATTTAAAACTTCGCGTTTCAAAGGACATTTTCAGGAAAGTAAAAACACAAACCATAGAAAGGGAGAAAAGTTTTACAAATCATATGTCTGATAAGGGCCTAATATCTAGAATACATAAAGAACAGATACAAGTCAGTAAGAAAAATACAAGTACCTTTAAAAAAAAAAAAAAAAAAGGTAAAAGAATGAGGATAGCTGGTGATTTAGCTCAGTGGCATAAGTGCCTGCCTGGCAGGCCTGAGGACATAAGTTTGATCCCTGAACCAAAAAAAAAAAAAAAAACATAAGAATGAGGACAAGGGCTTACAAACCAGGTATAAGAAAAAGCTTGTGTCAGTGATCTTATTGTTGAACTTCCTCAAACAGATTTATTTTTGTTTAACAATAAACTATTAGCTATGACTTGGTTAAGTTCCTGCAGCGGGGGTTGCTATTTGCAGCTAAATGCAGTCAAACTGTTAACATCAACTATGGCTGCACTGCATTAGGCTTAGCATAGATCAAATCCTGTTGGTTCTACCTTCAAAATCCAGTCACTTCCTCCCTTGCCCACTGTCCACACCCTGATAGGATCCGTCACCCTCTCTCTTCCAGCTGGCTTCCTGTTCCACCTGTGTTCCCCTTCACTCCACTGTCAGCCAAAGTTCATTTTAAAATAGAGTTCAGGCCAGGTCACTTGTCTGAAGTAACCTTCCAATGACTTCTCACTCAAAGGCCCAAGTCTGTTCTACCCACAAAGAAGGTGAAGTTGATCTGCATGACATTCCCTCTACCACTGACCTCACCTCCTATTTCATTTCCCTTAAAAATAACCTCATTATTCCTCCAAAAGTGGGGCTTTAGGCACACTTACCTGTGAGTGTGTGAAACATCCTTCCTGCATCCACACTCATGTTAGAACCCTGACTCTTTTCCTGCTCTTCCTCAAAAGCCATCCTCTCAGTGGGACACTCCCTGAGCACCCCATCTTAAAAAAAAAAAAAAAATCAACCCTTTATTAGCATTCCCTAGTTCCCTTCCCTACTTTACAGTTCCTTCTCATTATTAACATACTATACTATACATTTTACCTATTAATCCTGCTTACTGTGTCCCTCCCTAGAATGAAAGCATCATGGGAACACAACTTTTCACTAAGCCCTGCACACAGAACAGTGCCTAGCACACAGGAAATAGTCAGTAAATACTTATTGATGAATGAACAACTACAGCCAGGGAAAAACTAGGTGGGAAGCTGGAGAATAAGAAAGTGTCAAAGGCAAATGTCAGTGGCCTCATACTGACTCATAAGTTCCTAAAAGCACATAGCTTTACTGATACTTGTAGCCAACCCCACCCATTCCATACAGTGAACAGACAGCAGGTAGACACTTCAGCTGAAGTTCACATCTGGATGTGACACTAGTTCCACGCAAGACAATAAGAGCCATAAAAACAGGACAGATACTTCTACACTGATATGACCAGCCTTGTTTTGGGAAGAGGATCTTTCAGCTGAAGCATGTGAATAGTCATGCAAGATCTAAACTTATGAGCAGTAAGCCTATTACTTGAGATTAATGAATACCTGCTTTCTCAACAGCAAAGTACATAAAAGTATGACTGCATGTATTTTACCTAAAATATTAAGCCTAACATAATTGAATTTCACAGCATGCGAAGAACTTTACAACTTATTTAACTGCTTCTGTTTTAAAATAATTTAAAATCTATCTTAATATATGCACAGATTATATCTTAAAGGATCCATGAGGAAAGTACAGCAGTGCCTGCTCCTGAAGACAATTAGATACTCAGGAGAAAGGGGAGGAAGGGAGCCATTTCCTTTATCACACTTATCATATTAATGTATTACATTAAAATAACAGATTAAACGTGTATGGAGCAGCCCACAGCAGCAGTAAGGTTTTCCTTCTCACCAGAGCCCGGCTTAAGTGTTTACACAAGATACAAGCACTGTGTAAACTTGCATGTCTCCTACATACCACCTAGAACAGTACTCCAGTAAGACTCAAAATGATTACAGATTAGTTGTGCAGATCTGTCGAACTGTTTTCTAGTAACTCATCTTAGTATACAAATGAGTTCTTCACTTTTATTTATTCTATCAAACAAGCCACCATCCCCCCCCCAAAAAAAACCTTTCACTTTCTAATTAAACTCTCAGGACAAGGCAAGGTTCCTATAAGAAACATAAAGAACAAAAAACACTACTAAAAGTGAATGGATCCTTACGAAGTGAGATTATTTAAGGAGTTGCTTCCTGAAAAAGCCACTTATTAACTGCCACCTTGTCCAAATTAGATCACAAATAAAATGCTCAGGGGTGAGAAAAACGTGAAATGCAGCAGGCTACTGGCTGGACGCTCAGCACACACACCTCCAGGACAAGTCTTGGGGTTATTCATGTTAGTTGTTATTCACGGTCTGTTTTTCTGTTTCAAAAATTCCCAAAGTTGGAGCTGGGGATATAGCTCAGCGGCATAAGCGCCTGCCTTACAAGCAGGCAGTCGTGAGTTCGATCCCCGGTACCGATAAAAAAGAAAAGGACAAAAAAAAAAAAAATCCCAAAGCATAAGCAGCAGAGATCCCTTGGCTTTCAAAAAGTAACAGGATGTCAGCCGTGAACCACACAGGAGCTCTTTTGCTGGCGTTTATCTGGACACCTGAGATGTCCACAGAGTCTACTGATGCTCCAGTTCTACCAAGCGCGACGGCAACACGAATGACAAATATATCTCATTCACTCCCGCCAGCAGGCAACTACTACCTTCCCCACTGATCCCTTTTATTTCCAACAAAATACAGGCAATATTCTTCAGTCGACTCTTCCTAACGCCTAAGTCAACCACACTAACAATCACTATCTGAACAGCTCACCACCAGTTGGCAACTACAACCGCTTCAAACGTCCGTGCTCCAATTTGAGCTTGAATAAACTGGTTTCTCAGAGGATGCTTAATACTCCGTTACTACCGTGCTATGAGGAACTAAACCGGAAGACAGGCGTGCGTGCAGAGAGCGCCACGCGTCGCTGGCAGCGAAGCGGACCCCGAGGCAGCCCCGCCGCCAGCGCTCGCTCCCTTCGCTGCACGCAGCTCCCTAAGCATTATTTCATCGCAGCTTGACGCCGTGAGACCTCTCCTGGGGTGCCTCGCGCCCCTTCCTCCGGCTCTCGGGCCCCCAAGTTCGCTGCACCACAGTTCCGCGAGCCCCGCCCCAGCTACTCGCGGATAAACAGACAAGTTCCCAACTCTGCGCACGCGACAAGGACGCGACCCCTGGGCTCGACGCGCCACGGCCCGGCGGAGGGGCCGAGAACACCGGGCGAGGCGGCGATGGGAGGGCCGGCGACCCAAGAGCTGGGGAAGGGGAACGCGGCCGCCGGGGACTCACGGTCGGGGCAGCGGCTCCTCGGGCCCGGACAGGCCAGCAGGAGGCGGAGGCGGGGGCGGATGTGCCTGGGGCGGCGGCGCCTGAGGCGACGGCTGAGAGGGCTGAGGCGGTGGCGCCTGCTGCTGCTGGAAGGACTTGAGAGACTCAAAGGCCTTCATCAGCTTTTCCAGGGTCGCCATGGCGCCCTCGCGCCCGGCGGGGCAAGCCCGAGAGGCCTCGGGCCGGCTCACGCCACGCTCCGCCGCTTAGTACAGAGGCAATGAATGAGGCGTAGGGCCCTGGGCAGAAGCGGAAGCCACCCTCCCGGCCATCTTGGGCCCGTCCCGGCAATCCCCGCGGTGGCCTACGTCCCGCGACGCCACTCCGCTGGAGGAAGGCCGGGCCAGCCTGACTGACAGACGAGGCGGTGGTCTGTTCCAATGGAAAGCTGAAACATCACCACGCGCCCGCCCCCGCACAGTCTCCTCTTAGAGCCACAGCCTCGCTGATATCGCAGGCCCCTCCCTACTGAAGGCAACGGGAATGAGAGGGCGGAGCCGGAGACTGAGCGCTGCCTGAGGGGTCGGGGGAGAGCGCGGGGCTGGACAAGGAGGAGGAGGGGCGAGGCTGGGAAAGGGCGAGGTGAGACGAGGAAGGGGCGGGGTGGGAGGGGCGGTGGAGCCGCGGAGGGGCGGGGTGAGTATTTGAGGGCTGGCTGGGGGCGGGGCGATGGAGCGATCCTAGGCAGTCCGCAGCTGTGCTCCCGCAGAGGTTCAGGCAGAAAGCAATCCTGCCCAGCTGCCATGGTGTTTCTGGTAAATTACCTTGTACAACCTTTTATCATTTTATGAAAAGGTCAGCTAAGAGAGGTTCGGAAAACATTAAGGGCATTTCCATTATTTCTTACGAGAAAAATAGTCTTGCCTTACACCAACTTGAGTTACAATCAGCCCTTGCAAATGAATTGAGTTCGAAAGCCAAAGGTCTACAGTATAACGTGGGACCCTGATATGTGTTTGGCTGGCAGTAATGTGACTAAATTAGTGCTAATGGGTCTGAGTTCCTTTCTCAGGATGTCTACTGGATGAGTAATGTTTCCCCACACCAAACAGATAATTGTCTTGGGTACTTTTCTCTCTTTGCTGAGACAAAATATCCAACACCCACAATTAAGGAAGGGAAGGTTTATTTAGCTCACAGTTTGTGTGGGTTTCAGTCCACAATGGGCTGGCTCCAAGGCAGGGTGACATGGCACAGGGGCAACAGTTCAAAGTGGCACAACACAGCAAAGCAATAAGCACAAAAGCAAGGAGAATAAGCCTCTTCCCCCCACCTTAAATTGTAAGCAGGCTACCACCCCCGCCCCCAGGGCAGGTAGCACTCCCACCACCTCTGTGCCCACCTCTTGCACAGGCTGAGGATATTTACAAAGTAAAGATCCAGGCTCCCTGCTAAATCTCTTAAACTTATAAACTTCTCAAACTGACACAACCATATCAACCATAACAGATGATGAATCCCTTAAATTTGTTTCTGTACAACGTTACTTTCCAACTTTGTTCAATCTCTTAGTGATATTCTGTACTGTTTTAGTACTGCTTTCTATGTTTAACTGTTATACATGTTGTAAAATAGGGGGCTGGGGATTTAGCTCAGCGGCATAAGCGCCTGCCCTGTAAGCAGGCAGTCGTGAGTTCGATCCCCAGTACCGATAAAAAAGAAAAAGACAAAAAAAAAAAAAAAAAAAAAAAAGAAGCAACATGTTGTAAAATAAGATGTAACATGATTATACAACCTATTTCAGCTTACACCACACATTCTGCTGATTCTCAAGTAGAATGTCAAGGATAGGGTTAAAGGGGATGCATGTCAGTGAAATGCAGGAGTGTGCCAAAAGGATATTGGCTGCTGCCTTTCAGAAATGAAACTATTTCCTCTGGAAGAAATATTACATAGAGATAGTCTCAAGTGGCCCATGAGAGTGTCCTTAGTTTTAACCAGACCCAAGGTGCTGCTCTAAGACACACAGGCCTGTTGGTACCAAGTCACTTTTGTATGAACACAGTACTTAAAAAACTAACTAGCAGGGGCTGGGGATTTAGCTCAGTGGCATAAGCACCTGCCTTGCAAGCAAGCAGTTGTGAGTTCGATCCCCAGTACCGATTAAAAAGAAAAAGACAAAATAACTACACTAACGGTATTTTCTCTCTCTCCTGCCAAAGATTCCATCTCATACAAGAGTCTTCGTCCTTGGTCATTGTGTCATTCATCCCAGTGGGTCATTCATCCCTTTCTCATTGTGTGGTAATTTATTAATTATATTCATATCTGCCATATTTTTATAATAAACATATTTTATCTTTTTAAAAGCATTATGTGGCTCTTCTGTTTATGCAGATCTGTACCTCAATTTTTTTGGGGGGGTACTGGGGATCGAACTCGTGACCTTGTGCTTGCTAGGCAGATGCTCATGCCACTGAGTTAAATCCCCAGCCCTGAACCTCAAATTTCTGTGGCCACAACTCTATGTGGCTGTTACATACCCAAAACTCAGGACCATGACACTAATAGGGCTGAGAGCCACCAGCCCTCAAAAATCAGAGCTGCTACCATCAAAAGAGCAGCACTAGGCCAATTAATAATTTCTATCCAAACTGAGCAAAAGAACCCTCTGCTGCTTGGTGACCCTGATAGCTGGTGCATCCTTGTGAGAGGCCAAGGAGTAGAAGGTTCCAGATAAGCTGGGCCCAAATCCCCAAGCCACAGAGGCCAGGCAGTCTTGAACATGTGTTAAGACAGTACATTTTGGGATGGTTTGTAATACAGCAACAATATACTGGTTCGTTTGGGCTGTCCTGACCATGGGCTATAGCCTAGGACTTCAACAGCGAAACTACGATCCAACAGCCTGGAAGCTACATGTTCAGGACCCAGGTGGATAGGTTTGTCCTCCTGAGGTCTCTCCTGGGCTTATAGGTGGGTTTCTCCCCATGTCCTCACCTGTGAGATGTCTGTTTCCTGATCTCAACTTCATCTAAGAACACCAGTTATGTTGGGCTGATAGTAGCCTCAGTTTACCTTTTCTACCTCTTCAAAGATTCCGTTACCAAATACAAACACATTCTGAAGTTCTGGGGCTTAGGACTTCAACATATGAATTTTAAGAGGACACAACTCAGCCCAGAGTAGTAAATAATTCAGTTGCATCCCATTAGCCAGTGGGACCCTCTGAAGACTCCAGTTTTTATCTGGCAGTCTGCCATTTAGCTAAGACACTATATTTTGTGTCCTCTAAGCTAATTGTAGTCATGTGATAAATACATTCTGACCAATGAGATGCAAGCAGGAGTAGTGTTACTTTCAGAAAGTCTGCTTCAAAGGAAGGAGTACACTCACCCTTTTCCTGTGCCTTTGAATGACAATGTCTTGGTTGGTACTTGAGTACCCACTTTGGGTCATGAGCATAAGTTATTCTGGGAGAGTGAAGCTAGAATGAGCGAGGACCCAGATGACTGTGTAGAGCTGTCATCTAGCCTAGCCCACCTACCTCTGGACTTCATTTGTGACAGAGAAATGTACTTCAGTTTTGTTAAGCCACTGTACCTTTCAGTTATCCTGTTACTTGCTCCTCAACCAAATTCTAACCAGCCCGGGGAGGAGATGACCCACTAAGGCCTTATATGGCCACAACATTGTTGTTTCAGCCACAGTTAGAAGGTTCTCTTATGGGAGACTATTATGAAGCTGCTCTGAGCAGGATTTCAAATTAATCAACTGGCTTTCTATGTTTACTTGTGAGTCTGTCCCAAGCCTAAGCTCCTTGTCTGGAGGAGATGGGCATCGGATTCACAGTTAGTGGACCTCTGTGAGTCACTCGTCCTAGCTGAGACCTGCAGTGGCCTGTGATGCCAGTGATACTTCAAAGGACAAGGTAAGGCCACAGTTGAGGATACCTGGCTCCAGCCCCAATTAATGACAGAGACAAAGCTGCAGGCCTCTGACTGCTGGTGTCTCAGTCCTGTTGGAAAAGTGAAACTGAAGATAGTTCTTCTAAATTAGCATAATTTACTACTTGGAGAAGGTTTCTAACTGACTCCCTTGGTCCTGCTCAGTTCCTGTATTGTCCTCAGTATCCCTTCCTTTTGTCTGAAAACCACAGGGAAGCTAACTAATCCGCTGGGCAACTTAGCAGCATAGTAGGACCCTGTCTCAGAATTTTTAAAGGCCTAGGGTTATAGCAAAGGTCCTGGGTTCAATCCCCAATAATGGAACAAGAAGAAGGGAAGATAACAAGCCAGTTTTAGAAAAGGACCGGTCCTTAGAAAGGAATAGTTCCATGTTTGAACTGATCATAAAAATCCATGTTAAGTCTCTATATGATACAAGTATATACTGCATAATGTCCAAGTCAGAAAAAAGATATATATCTCCTCAATGATTGTTCCTTTTAAAAAGGTAGACTTTAAAGTTCACAGAAAAGTTTGGCATAGTCCACATCAATTAAAGATTAACAGTAGGGATTTAGCAAAGCTCTGAAAATGGACACAGTGTCTGGACAGCAAAGACAATTCTGTTAATTTATCCCAGGAGAACAACCAGTAATGTATGATAAAGAAACAATCATTTATTACAGCAATACTGGAATAATAATATAAACAGTGGACAGATGAGTTAATGAATCATGACGCAGCCACATGATGGAAAATGTGTGGTCCTAACAATGTGAAAGGTTTCTAGTGCAGTACCAGATTACACTTCTGTGCATAGCAAGACACATACACCACTTTTGTAAGAAAAATGCAACACATATACATAGAAAACAGATTAGGAAGTTGGCCATGGTTGCACACAATTGTAATCCCAGAGCTGGGGAGGCTGAGGCAGGAAGATGGCCATGAGTTTGAGGCCAGCCTGTGCCACATAGTGAATTCAGGGTCAGCCTGAACTACATAGTGAGACGCAGTCCCAACAACTTCCAGACAAACCTTACCTTCCCATGAGCTGGCTGGTGCGTGGCTGGGAACCAGAAGAGCATCTACCCCTCAGAGTAAGCAGTGGCTGGTTCAGAGGACTCAGTGTGAGAAGATGGCACCTGAGGTGAAAGAATAGCTCCATGTTTGTGGTGTTTGACTGACTTTGCAGGCCTGGGGCTGGTGGTCTGGGCCTCTATTTGGAGGATTGGCAGTGTGCATTGTGGCAGTGGAGGAAGGTTTGGGTTTTTGGGTTTTTTTTTTGTCTTTTTGAGACAGGGTCTCTATGCAGTTCAGGCTGGCCTTGAGCTCACTTTGTAGCCTAACTAATCTGGTCTTGAACTCTCAACAATCCTCCTGCCTCAGCCTCTCGAGTACTGGGATTATAGGCGTGAGCCACCAC